AAAAAGTTTTCGAGAAGAGACAATTAAACAACCGTTTTTAATCAAACCAGCTAGGCTCGCCTAGCTTCAGCTTCATTGAGAAAGCGACGTCGTTTTTTCACTGGAATAGAGGTTTGAGGATCAAAAGAGTTACGCTTCTTGTTCGCCCCTTCAGGGCCTCCTGTATCGTTTGTGGAATCGGCTAGTGACTGGACGGATCGATCTATGTCGGCTAGTGCCTGAACAGTTCGATCTATCTCGGCAGTGACGAAAGAAGGAGCTGTTGTAGCAAGATCGAGGCTGGGCGTCCCACCATCGGGTTCAGAACTGATGGCTAGACTGAGACCCGTATCACGGGAGACATTATAAGGATTATCTGATACTGGGACGTAGTCTTCAAGACTATTACTATGGCTAGGCATAATGTTAGCAGATATGAGAGAGTTGTCAACTTTTGAGCAAGTTGTTGAAATCTGGGATGTTCGACAGCCATTCGGGCGCCTTGTCTCCGATCCATTTGCACTAGGACTCTCAGTATCTTCGACGAACATAGGGGAAGAAGGCGTTGTTGGCCGTGAACCAGGGAGGGAGCGGATGGTGCAGGTGGACTCGACATCCGCCTGAAACTCATTCGAAACGCCGTTTGCAATGGAGCCAACAGAAGAGGGTAAGGAGGAAGAGCTCTGCGTCTAAAATAGGAGGGGAATCATTAAGCCGGAGCAAATTAACTACAACAGAATGCGCAATGCGTTCTACTTTAAGACCAGTAATCTAGTTACACGTGTTGATAAACCTAGCACCTGAATATGCGATTGAATGAATAAACGAAATAGCAGAGGGCTTAAGAAATCGATGGAATTACAAGTATGATCATATCATGGGGGGAAAGAGCCTAAACAAACGGGTAGCACTATGAGTAAAATACACTTGAATTTAAAGAGGTAACTTTTCCTTTTTATTTTTATTTATCTCATGCCTATTAGTAGATTAGCTAACAGGTTTAATCAAAGTGTAGAGGGATGATGGTGCCAAATACAGGCACAAACGGAGTCAAAAAAGATGTAACTCTTAGTTTGACCTTAAATATTCATCCAAACTCTGAATTATCAAAACGGGTTTGATTTTCCCAATGAACTTTGCATGCAAATGGAAAGGCAAACACCCTTAAATGCGTATTAAGGGAATGGAAACTCAAAAAGCCGCAGTCTCCTCGCACAGCCCAATGGAACAATGATTCAATCGACGTTAAGGATGATTAGCGCTTAACACTACTGCCTGATTAGATGCAACTTCATTTATAGCATAGATATTAAAAAGAAAAGGTATGAGACTTAATAACCTATGCAAGACAAACAAGCGATATATGCATAGTTGATAAATTTAAAGACTAACAGATCTTGAATAGGAGCTGTGTTGACCACAGATAGCATATGGTGAAAGTAAATTGAATTTTCCCACAACGTTCAAGTGGGCCGCGAAGAGGGTATTAAATTTCCTATGACTGCTTCCCAGAGAATGGACTGGAATTACGACCTTGCCTGCGTTTCATCTGCACCCCTAACGGCACTCTAAGCCGACGTGAATAAGTAAGCACACTGATATTTTTCAACTATGAAACAGCCAATTTCAAGTTAAACCAGATTTCTTCTGAAATATCGGCAAATGAGGGAGTGAATATGAGGGATTGTAGCTATACTACTCAGGTTAGCTAAAATATAGTAATAAATAACGCATCCTCGGCTAGTGATATTTAGTAAACGACCAAAATTGTATTCATTAGGGATTAACTGTATTTTCGACACAAAGCCACAGCTAGAGATGCCATCGGGTCACATAGCGGAAGTGATTTCTAAGGCAATTCAGGCCTCTTATTGAAATGCAGATGGGGCAAATTTGTGTTTTGACAGTAAAATACTATTTAGTAGGTTTCTAAATTACCAGTAGACCTTTAATAAAAACTGCATTCACCCTAGGCCGCCTAAAGCGTAGTGTTAACATGTCGAAACATGAGACATTACCCTGACTCGATTATCGTTGAAGGCTTCGATAAGACTTATGAGATCAAAATAAAAGTCTACCATGGATTTGAGAGATCAAGTCTGAGTGGACTCGTATGTCGAGCTAAGTGCAATTATGGGAAAATTCACCTATTATCCTTTTATCACCTTACTCCGGCATAGGGTGAGTAATGCTCTTATCCAAGACCTAGTATTGGTATCGAAGCCTATTAATGAATGTTGATAAAGGGCAATGTATAAGCTAAGTTGGACGTTTAGATGACCAGAAAATAGGGTATTGCATTGGGTCCTGATTGAGTTACCGTAACGGTAAACAGAAAATCTATGATTTTCTCAAGGGAAAATGAGTTATTTTTCGGTATTAGGTCTATCGCAGTACAGACAGAAAGTTTAGCACAGTTTCATCAGAGTCGCAGAACAGTGCGAGGACTTCTTCGCACAATTCAAGTCTTTCTTACGCAGCAATCCTCCTTCGGTTTCTGATGAGACCACATCAGTAATTCCTTCCAACAGCTTTATTTTCGAAATGGAAAGCCGTGTTACAATATATCATAAAGAAATTATTCGAAACCCAGTTTTTCTTCAATACTACTTCGTTTGTAATCAGATAAGCTCATGGATCTATTCACCGACTTTCTACCCTAAATGATAGATCGAAGGGAATTAAAAGCAATGAAACGAAATCGGATAAAGAATAAGAAATTAAATTGTAGATATGAAGACCAAGATAGTGTGGATTCTCGTTTGGGCACAATATCCTTTAGCTGTATAGTGTTAGTATGACCTTGTTTTTGCAACTTGATCGGAACAACAGGAAGACCCTTTATAGCGTACCTAGTCCTGCGTCCTGTCATTGTATTTATGATTTCTAGCATCAGACCATGGACTTTGTACATACCCATGTCATGCTGGAAATCATGAATAGTATGATAGATGACGCGAGACTGGCTACATTCCACAAAGTCTCCCTGCGGCCCCGACCAAATTGTGAAAACGAGATTAAATCAAAAATTAAGAAAATTAATTCTTAATTTTTAGTATAAAAATAGACTGACCGCTCCTGCAGTTGCCTCTGGTGGCGTAGGATGCGTAAATGCAATCATCTGTCCGGATCCGTCAGCCTGATTAGCTCTTGGTAGGTCTAGTCGACCAGAAGGCTCGATGGGATGAGTAGGAGGGGTGGCTGCCTGAGCCAACCGGCCCGTTCCAATTAGCTTGGGTAGATGGCCAGGCCCAGATATCACCAGACCGGCATGGTCAGTGCAAACCCAGCGAAAACCAGCTGCTAGTTGACCAAGTAGACCAGAAGGAGTCAGCTGGCTCCCCGGAGTAACAGAAGTGCCTGAGGTGGAAGAGTTGGTAGTAGGGGCCACTGAGTCTATCTGACTCTGGCTATGGTGATGATGATGATGATGATTAGATAGCCCTGAACCGATCCCGCCAGATCCAAACCCAGAGGCTGTAGCTGCAGTCGAGGCTGCAGTAACAGCGGCTGCATTTACTACAGCTCGATTAACTAGATCAGAACGTATTGCCTCGGCCCACCGATCGGCATCCATGGCGTCGATCTGGACCCTGCGGCCTGGATCCGCATGCTCATCACAATAACCATTCGGGCAGCGCCAGCAAAGGTAGCTTGCAGGCCGACCACAATCATCGCAATAATGCCAGGGACAATACCATATGCCTAAGAGAACAAAAATAAGGTAAGCAAGAGTAAAATGCAAACATTTGCTAATACGAAAACTTAGAGTAGCATCTCGTAATCGAGAGTATGGAAGGAATGAAGTCGCAACGAAATTCTGCAAAAATGTGGAATATTTGTTCGAATAAACATTAAGCCGAGTAGAGGAAATAGTTTAGATTAATGATGAAACGGACTAGGAGATAGGCACCCAGAAGATTGTAATTATGTGAAAGAAGCTAATAGGCCAGAAAAACAAATTTATTGAAAATTTACATTAAGGAATACGTTCCGGATCCTAAGGGCCATGTGTGGATAGAGTTTGGTCTTTATGAAAAATTTGTAAATTCACATAATGAAGCGGTGAGACCCAGTAGGCTGTGAAATTTAGCAGCATTGCCTAATAGATGACAAGAAAGATATATATATATATATATATATATTAGCATTAAGCCAAACATTGCTGCAAGATTGAAGAAGATGGAAACCCATGGCAACTAAGAATGCTGGAATCGCTAAATTACGTAAGCCTTAGCTGTGACCCAACCTTCGAGAATACCAAGGAAAGGGTTTAACTGGTTTAGCACTTTAGTCTATCACAAAAATGACATGCATGCACGAGCGCTAATAGCCAATTTTGTGTGTTCCCCCAAACAACCCTGGCCGCACAAAAAGGGATAAATCGTATACTCATGCATTTATAGGCATAGGTGTCCTATAGTGATTATGGGTTGAGAGCTTGTAAGTTGATCAAAGCCAGTGCTGTTTAAGTCAGTCAGTATAGAAGAATTCTGCTTTAATTTAATGATGCTATCTCAAGTGTTCCCACAAAACATTGATTCAGATAGCTTACAGCTCATAAAAATTTCAAAAATATAACAAGTCTACCTAGTCCTCTACTAATGCGCTAGCCTGATAGATACCTCGAAAAACAGAGGGGTAAGAAAGTTTTCAATTTTTAAGCAGGCGGATTTCCCTGCATGATAAGCATATATCTAAATTTAATACCCGTACCTAAGGCTGCCTGTGAAAGTTTGACCAAGCTTGGCCGCTCGTTATAAAGAGGTGGGTTAAGGAGAAATGCATGCACTTAGAAGGCACCAAAGTATTAATGAAAATACGCTGCAACAAACAAGCATGTAAACAGACATATTGCTGGAATTCAATCAAGAACGAATTATTAGAATAAAAAACTGAAAAGAAATGTTAGAAAAAAATTTCATGAATGAATTGACAAAATAAACCAAAGGAATGTGATTTTCAAGAGGGAGGAATGAGAAGTGAAGTAAGATAGCGATCAATAGAATGTGAGGTCAGGAAAAAGAAAGTATTGTGTGCATAAATAGGCATTGATAAAGCATTATGCAAAGAATTAAAACAAATTTAAAAAATTACCTGCTGGAGGTCGAATAAGACCCAAACAATTCAGATGATAGGACTTGGAACAAGTTGATTTATCGCAAAGCACCAACTCACCGCCATCACCACAACTGAGGGCGTGCATATGCAGGAGCAATGTTTAGGTGGAAAAAGAGGGAAACACAAAATGAAAGCTTTAGAAAGAGATGTTAATTAAGGGTAAAACAATAAAACAGGCCTAAAGTGAATTTCTGGGGATAACAATGAATCAGCCAGCTGACCAGCTGGACTTGACTGTTTTGCATCTAAATTTTCTATAGTGAATTTTCATTAAATGTTTAAACGATAAAAACGAACAGAGTTAATATAATATTGGGTTCACCCCTGTTACACGTCAAAACGTGGAGTAGAGCATGTGATGATACCATTTCACAGACTTGGTTCTTCTTCAAACTTTCAAAGACACAATGAAGAACAATGAAAAAACATAATTCAGAAATCTGTCTCAACTCCTATTCACTACGAATATTCCATAATCTTGTCCACAAAACGAAAAATAAACCACAAGTATGAAGATCAAGGTAGTGTTGTT